GGCCGCCGCGGGCCGCATGAGCACGCAGCGGCGGACGCGGCTGTGGGCGGCGCAGGCGCGGGCGGAGGCGGAGGCGGCGGCGCTGCCGTTTCCGCTGGCGCTGCGCGACCTGGTGCAGGGCCTGTTTGATGAGAGCGTGCTGGGGCTGCCGCGGCTGGTGCTGCTCTCGGTGAGGGGGGCGAGCGTGTTGGGATGCCCGCATTCGGGCTGTCCTTTGGGGTGTGTGTGTGTGTGTTGGGGTTGGGTACCATACAGGGGTCCAGAGGGTGTTGTAGGGCTCAGATGAGCCATACTGCCGTTTATTTATTTGTGGCCTGGATTGCTGGTTGCATGGGAAGCGCATTGAAGACCAAGAGTCACAGGGGGGGGGGCACAAAACAGAGTTTAGAGAGGATGGCGGCCTGCTGTGTGTCCCCCCGTCTTGGCGCGGTCTGCCCAGGCGCCGGAGGTCCGCCAGGCGTCAGCGCTCAGAATCTTCAGGGCCAATACTGTCTAGGAAGGAGTGGGATGAGTATAATCAAGGAAGATCAGGGTTTCGAATCGGCTAGATTTTGGGTGATGCGACCAACGAAGGCCCTCGGGCAGCGCATGCTGATGGGGCATCATTGTGCATGGAGATTATCTTCCCCCGCGATGAGGCTGCGTGCATTCATAGCTCCAAGGCAGCCTTGGTCGACCCTGTGCGATGACACCCGCGAGACCCCGCCTGCACTAGCACGCGCGTGCACGCCCACACACACGTACACGCACCGACGCCCTCACACAAATGCATGCGCAGCAACTTGAGCGAACGCATCCACGAATCCACGCACCCAGTGGCGGTCGATTGGTGAATGCGTTTGCGCGTGAACCACACCACAAAACACATGCTCGCATGCACCCACGCGCATGCGCACAACCCAAACATTCTCTCCACCACCTCTTGTTGCATCGAGCAAGCCACCAGGTTCACAGCAGGCAACCTTGGTTTTATCCCAATCCCACCAAATCAATTGCAGGTCCCCGGCTACCGCAGCAACGGCCCAGTCGCAAAGGGCTACGACCATGGCGGCGGCGGCATGTGCACAGATACCACTCTCGGCGGCCCTGACACTCGCGGCAGCAAGGGGGCGCGCCGCGGCGGTGAAGGCAGCGACGATGTTGAGGGCAGGGACCGGAAGCGGTCGCGGCGGGAGGGCATGCAGGATGTCGACGGGGCTGGTGACATCAGCGGCGCCGATGACGTCAGCGGCGGCGGCGGCGGCAGCGAAACACCCCGGCCGGGGGGGGCTGATGGCGGCAGCGGCGGCGGCCGCGACGGAGGTGTGAGATGGGGCAAGGTGATGCTTGGGCCGTCCAGCGTTGTTGGCAGGAGTGCGGGCGCCGGCTCCTGTCAAGCTGTGCCCACGCTGCAGCAGCCGCAGCCGCAGGTGCCCCGCCTGTTGCCGCCTCAGCAGATGGGGCCGGGCCTGCCACTGTTCGGAGCGCCGGTCCCCCCAGCCACGCCGCCCCCTGCGCAGGCCCCAGCCCCGCGCGCCCCCTTGCATGTGCCGGCAGGGACCAGTCTGCCGCCGCCATACAACCAGCAGCAGCAGCAGCCGCCCTTGCAGGCGGCGCAGCAGCCGCAGCAGCAGCCGCAGCCGCAGCAGCCGCAGCAGCCGCAGCAGCAGCAGCAGCAACAGCAGGAGGAGCAGCAGCAGCGGCAGCAGCAGCAGCTGCAGCAGCAGCAGCTGCAGCAGCAGCAGCTGCAGCAGCAGCAGCGGCAGCAGCAGCAGCAGATGCTTCGGACCCTCCCCGGCCCTGGGCTTGGATTGCCAGCCAGCTCTGCAGTGACCCAGCCAACCGCGCCCTTTGGTGGTGATGCGTCGCCTCAGGTGGCTGCGCCGTTGGCTGCAATCACCGGCGGCCCGGCAGCCAGCTGGGCGCCGCCACCTTCGTATCTCAGCATGCAGCCACCAGCAGCGGCATGGTGGTCCCAGCAGCAGCAGCCGCAACAGCAGCAGCAGCAGCAGCAGCAGCAGCAGCAGCAGCAGCAGCAGCAGCAGCAGCAGCAGCAGCAGCAGCAGCAGCAACAGCAATGTCAGCAGCAGCAGCAGCAGTGGCAGCAACCATTCGTGTCACCTAATGGCATCCAGAACGAACAGGCCCCACCCCTACAGCCAGGAGCTGGCGGGCCTGTTGGTGTGACGCCTGCAGGCTGCCTTAGCTTTCTGTCAGAGCACCACCAGCACCAGCAGCAGCAGCTGGTGCAACAGCAGACACAGCACTACTACCACCACCCGTCGCCGCCGCCGCCGCGGACGCAGCAGCAGCGACCGCCAGTCGTTCCCTTCCAGCAGGCCGGCGCCTCCCTCGGTGGCGGCCCATCGCCCATGCCACAGCAGCAGCAACAGCGGCACGCGCCTGACGGTGCCGCACTGCCTGGGCCCAGCTGCCACCCATCGGTCCCCCAGCAGCCGCTGCAGCCAAGCGGCCTGCCCTCCCCCCACACACCCCTGACGGTGCTGCTAGGGGCGCCGCCGCCGCTAGGGATGGGGTTGCCGGCGCCAGCGTTCACAGGCATGGGGGCGTTTGCAGGCGGCTTGTTTGGGCAGCCAGTGCCTCCTTTGCAGCAACAGCAGCAACAACAGCCACAGCAGCAGCAGCAGCCGTCGCTGAAGCAGCAGCGGGGTCGCTGGCTGCTTGGCGCCTCTCGTGCACCAGAGGCGCTCGCCCACTACATGGCTGGCACCGGCAGCACATTTCCATGCCAATTCCCAGACAGCCTGTTCGCGCCGCCCCTGAACCATCCCCTCGGCCTGTCAGAGCCGCCACACCGCCAGCAGCAGGCGCTGTATGGGTCGCAGGCGTCACAAGCAGTGCAGCTTCGCGCCAGCTGCCAGCAGACGTTCGGGACCCCCGGTGGCGCTCAGCCTTTTGCACCTTGGCTGGGGACATTGGCGCCAGCGCATCAACCCTGCGGCCCGCTGCAGGGGCCCCACACACCGGTGTCGTTGGCACTTGCGGCTGCAGCAGCTCGGCACCTGATGACTCAGCCGCCGTCCAGGCAGCTGCTGTCGCTTTCGTGCGCAATGGCAATTGCACAGCAGCCGCCTCTGCAGCAGCACCAGCAGCAGCACCAGCAGCAGCATCAGCAGCAGCTCCAGCAGCAGCACCAGCAGCAGGGTCCCTGGACCCTCCCCGCAGGGCAGGCGTCCATTTCAGCAGCCCATGTCACCACCAGCGGTGGCGCGGAGGGTGGCGGGCCAGCAGAGAGGGATGATGGCGCTGTTCGATTGAATGCAGCTTTGAGCAGTGGGGCTGACTGCAGGACCGGCGGCACCAGCGGCGTTGGCGACGGCAGCGGCGGGGGCGGCAGCGGCGATGGCGGCGGCGGCGGAGGTGGCGGGGCTCAGCTGCTGAGCGAAGGCGTGGACCGCGGCGGCGGCGGCGGCGGTGCTGAGGAGGCCGAGGGCGTGGAGGCCACCCTGAGCACCGGGGGCATGCTCCTGCCAGGTGGGTCTACCCATGTGCGTGTGAACAAACGTGGGTTTGGGTGTGAGAAACCATGTGTTTCGGGTGAAAAGACATGTGTTGAGAATGATTATGGCGTGCGGCCACAAGCCGCGGGGCGTGGCCCGCCTGATACACCTGAGCGGTGCCTTGATTGCTCTCTGCGCTCAACACCGCTGAAGAATTCAGTACCCTGCCTCCGCGGTGGTGGTGATAGTGAGTGTACTTGGGGTGTACCCCCAGATAGGCGGTGAAATGCACACATGCGTGTCACCACTCTGGCCCAGCAACAGTTTCTGGGTCTCGGCTCTTCTCTGACCGCCCGGTCGTCTGCAACCGCCCCTACCTGCTGTGATTGCCCCACAATGCAGGTGAGGAGCTGTTCCCACGGCTGGGGGCACTGATAGAGTACCTGTCGGGATTCAGGTGGGGGGCGGCTGTTCTGGGGTTGGCCAGCCACCCCAGACACCTGGGGTTGTTTGTTCAAGAGTTCGCTGTTTGGGATTCGCTGTGGAAAGGTTGGCTGCTTGACATTGGCTGTTTGAAATTGACTGAGGACAGATTGAGGAGTGATGGGCTTTTCTGGGGTTTGGGGGGTTTGGAAGCAAAGGTTTTAAAAAGCAGCCAAAAGACAGTTTTTTTTGGGGGGGGGGGTAAACTGCGTAAGGTGTTGACTGGTTTGCAGGGTCCCGAGGCCGGCCGCTATTGGTCGAGGCTAGCGAGCGCCGCCGCCCCTGGCGCACCCTTGCAACATCTATGTATGTAAAAGTCGCATGCGCCCGCAGGCGCTTTACACAGCACACGCCCACCACACTCACCAGCACCCTTCACATTCGAATCCAGGGACGAGGAGGGGTTCCACGGCATCGTCTTCTGCAAGAAACGGCAGGTGCTTGCCCGCGTGTCAGTGCGGCGCCGGGATTGGTGGCTTGCCTGCGTCACGGCCGGACTGGAGGGCAGGGGCGGGGGTGCTTCGTCGGCACTGCTTGCTGCTGCTTCTACTCGCACGGCTGTGGCCTCTTGATGCACGCTCCCTCATTGCTGCCCCCGCCCCACCTCACCATGGTATTGATTTCGGTCTGATATCACAGTTTTGTGCCATCCCCCACCCGCCGCCTCCCCACCTTTTGCTTCCATCAGCCGTCCCCCTGACTGCACGCCAGCCACTGCCCCCACCGGCAAATTGGGCCAGGAACCAATTTGCTCGTCTCCGGCCAGCAATCTCACCTCGATCCCGTGTCCATATTGCTCCCAAATCCTGCCTGATGTAAGTACTGCGAACTTAAACCCCAAAACCTGAGCCCTGGATCCGCTGAACCCGCGCCACCCTGCAGGTCGTGTTCCATGTTGCTGCCGCCCTGAGGGCCCACCCAGAGCTTGCATTCCTGGACGAGGTGATGTCACGATGATGTCAGCGTGGCTGTTTGGCACTTGCTTGGCAGGGGATTCATAATCCAGCATCTTGACACGCCTTGCACTGCACAGGCCCTTTCCAACATTCCCTGTAGCCACGCACTGTTCATCCGCACCAATCGACAATCAGATCAGCAGCCGCAACTGCTTACGAAATGCCGAATGCATCTCAGAGCCTGCTGACTAGAGACAGCTGGAAAACCCCCCTTACCATCCCACTCCGCGCGCACCGCAACCCACGCCATTGGTTCCGCCCCAGCCAGGCCTTCCCCTGTCCCAACTCAAACTCTCTCCCCTCCCCTCCAATCCCCTGACACCCCCCCTCCCGACCCCTACCACACCCCCCTTTCGCCACCTCAACCTCCAGGTGCTGGAGTTTGTGGGTGTCAATGACTCCAGCGCAGGCGGCTCGGGCGGCGCGGGGCTCGGAGGGGCCGGCGGCGGGCCTGGCGGCGCGGGTGCGCGGGTTCAGGGCCGCGCCTGACTGAGTCGGTCGCCTGCTCTGCTCGTCTGAGCGCCTCAACACTCGCATACTCAGGCGTTATTCTGCTGTGATAGCGTGAATGCAGGCTACCCTTCCTGCCCACAGCAAGAATGACGGGCTTCGACTTGCAGGTTGATCAACCAACACTTGACAACTGCGCACCCTCCATCCCCATCTCTCTACCGTGCGGCCGTGCCAGGCCTGGCCCTGCTGCTGGGCTGTGGCGGTGGCGCCCTGGCAAAGGATCCCTACGTGAAGGGCATGAGTGGCCGCACACAGCAGCGCGTCATCGCGCGGTTCAGGGTGGGTCAAAAGGGAGGGAGTGATGCGACCCGAGGCATCGGCATGCACCAGGCCGGACAGCAGGATTTGGCTGCGACGCAACAGTCAATGCCTACCCCTTGCTTCCCGTCCGCCTCCCCGCGTTTGCCCCTGTGTGAACCCACCTTCCCAAGCGGGTCGCGCGTCTCTTGGCTGAACCCTGGGTTATCAAGTCCAAAGCATGATCATTCCAGGACGATCCCCTCCTTTTTAATCCCGTATTGGGCATTGGCCATCGATCAACTGGTTTTGGCACGCGTCGCCCCCACCTCTCGGCATCAGGTCCCTGGCAAGCGGCTTCTGGTGGCGACGTCAGCGGCTGAGGAGGGGGTGGACGTGCCGTCATGCAACTGCGTGGTGGGTGGGGGCGCTGGGTGCGGTGTGGTGTACGGGCAGCATGCGGTGTGCCTGTCCAGGCAGCTTGATTTCGTAGGTGCGCTGCAGCAGCAAATGGGTGCTGCGTTTGTGTTGGTGCACATGTGCGTGCGTGCGCGTGCGTGTGGGTGTGCACATGCCCGTGCATGGTGTGGGGCAGGGCGAGGCTGTGAGGGCGGGTTGGTGTGTTGGGGCGAGGCTGGGTGGGTGCAAATGTGAGGTGTGGTGTAGGGAAGCTCTGGCACATGGACCCACACCACGCCTGTGATGTTTGTTAACGGAGCAAACGCTGCATTGGTGCGATCCCTGTGGTTGCTGGGCTGGGGCGAGGAGAGGCAGGGGCCTTGTTGTTTTGCTACGTTTTGATGTCTTGACCTGGGGATGAGGAGGTGGCGGCCAGTAGCTCTGTTTGGAGGGAAGAGCAGAGTTGGTTGGGGGCGTGTACTTGGGGGCGGGGGGATCATACATCAAATACGGGTGTGCTGGGGTGCAACATGCATGTTGCTGCCCTGCCTGCCAGCAGGAACGGCATGAACTGGGAGCCACACAGGCTTTCAGCACAGCGGCGGCCGTCCGAGGGGTCGCGTGGTCAGCTTGGAAGCCGCATGCTGAGCGCGATGGCGCGCGTGTCCGGCCCGTCGCTGCTTGTCGGGCTTGGGTCTACCCTGAGCCGTACGGGCCGGCTGCGTTCACTGCGCGCTGGATTGACCGGGCATTGCGCGCACGCAGTTGTACTGCATGCTCGATTGGCCAGGCATCTGTTGCGCTCTTAATTCGCAGCCGTGTCTCGGGGCTCGGCAGGGCCTGTCTCCCCGCGTCAGGATTCACAACCGGTAACACGCGCGACCATGCAATTCCCCGCGGCAACCAACTTTCGGGCACACCGGGGTGCATGACCGACATCATTGGCAATCATGGCCTCGTTTTCCAGCCACGTGACAGCCGCCAACGCCACCTCCTCCCGTCACCCCCCATACCCAAGCACCGCAAGAACCTGCGTTGAACGCCACCTTCGCACGCTGAATTTGCATCAAAATGTGCAAATGTCGCGAGATCCCCAACTGCTGCGCACACCAACCCGCAGGTGCGGTACAACGTGGCTGCCAGCGGTACGCAGCGCGTCCAGAGCCGCGGCCGCGCGCGCGCCAGGGCCTCCGAATTCCTGGAGCTGGTCTCGGCCCCAGGTGGGTGCTTCACGCCGGCGCCCGATGGGTGACGCGTGGTGACGCACGGGTGACGCGCGGTGACGCCGGGTGACGCGTGGGTTGCGGATGGGGGGCGGCCGGCAGGACCCACAAACATCTGCGCTCGACCCCCCAAAATCTTGCGTCACTGCAACCCGCTGGCAGGATGTCCCTTCAAAACAACCTGAGCTGTGCCGCAGAGCGAAGCCCCTAAAGCAGCCCGTCACGCGCACGGGAATGGAAGCGCCCCTCTCACCCACCGCCTGCCGACTTGCTGATCTGAATGTCTCACTGCCGCTCGCCCGCCCGGCCCCGGCCCCGCGCCGCCGCAGGCGCCGGCTGGGGTGGCGTGTTCAGGCCGGAGAGGGAGCTGCACGGCAGGGCCCTGAAGGAGGAGATCAACATGCAGCGCCACCTGGCCAGCTTCCGCGTGGCTTCCAGCGGGGCCGGCGGCGGCGGCGGCGGCGGCGAGGAGCAGGGGCGCGCACAGGAGGCGGCGCCGAGCGACGGCGTGAGGGGCGGCGCGCCGCGCGGCGGCGGCGGGGGGCGAGGCGGCAAGGCCGGCGGCGGGCGTGGTGGCGGCAGCAGCGGCGGCATGAGGAGGGGCGGAGGCAGAGGGGGTGGCAGCGGGGAC